TCAACTGGTTAATCCGAGCAGCAGGTTACCAGGTAAAACTTCATTTTCTTAGCAGCTGAGACCACAGTGTCATTTTCTGAGGAGAAGCTACCTTTGTATGGGAAAATATCATGCCTTTGGTAGAAGGTGAGACTTTCAAGGGTATGAAAAAGTACTTCTCTTGGGTTCTAGTTGATACATGGATGAGTTTATTCCAAACAAAACATGTCCTGATGGCTGTAGATGTGTTCTTTGAGTAATACACTTGTTTTAGTTTCATTAGGTACCTTAAAAAACAACCAAAATGGTCCAATTGAAATAAGGATTTCTGAGGAGGTTTGCTGGACCAGTTAAATTCAATATAGAGAGGTCCCTCTGTAAGATTACGGTGACTTTCTACTTATATATTTAGATCGCAAACGGGTGCTCTTGAGGATTTTTTGGAAGGATATAGGATGGTCATGGTTAGGGAGAAGTTTTAAGAAAACTGAAAACGGCATTGGTGAGAAATAGGTCAGGAAAATTTCACCAAGGATTTCCCCCCCACCATGACAATGCTCCTGCTCATTCTTGAGCGTAGAGAATTCTACTATGAGGATTCCCTTAGGAAGCCTTACCCCAAACATCCTACAGACTTTTTTTTGATCCTGAACATTTCCTTTTGTTCCCTAAATTCAGAGAACATTAAAAAGAAGCAATTTGAATCCTCTGAGGATGCCCAAAGTGCACTTGGACGTAGCTTTGCTGGGAGATAGAGAATTATGCGAGAAAGGGTCAGAGAGACGGAAACACAGCCTTCGGAAGTGTCCAGAGAATATACTGAGAAATAAGAGCACCACATTTTGATATTTTTGTTTAATGCAAATCTATATTACATTATATCAATACTTCTTTATTTTTCTTCACACTTACACGGTTCCTAAAAGGCAAAGGAAGAGAGGCCAGTCAGCAGAAAGAAGATGGGCAGGGAGGAGGTGGGCTCTTGGTGGTGGGGAACCAAAGGGTACTGAGAATAAAGATTCCTGACGTCCCACTTCAGTCAGCCCAAATTTGAAGTCAAACTATGACATTTACGAATGTTGTGAACAGTGCTGTTATTGTTGATTGGTACCAGCTCTAGAGCCAGGCACAGTAGAATCAGTAGGGGAAGACGACCCTGAAGTTTAAGTTCCCAGGTCGCTTACAGAAATCTTGAGAAGGGCTTTGGACTTCCATTCTGGGAACTGGGCCGGTCTTACTTGGATTTCAAGAGTCAGGAGGTGCCAGCAGACATGTAGCTCAAAAGCAAATGGGTGATTAAAGGGTACAATTGCCTTAGGAGATAGCTCTGCAAATTCGCATGGGACATGTGGAGGAAGCCACTCTTTTAGCCCATTCCAGGACAGGCACCATGTCAGGGGTGCACCCAGGCCACAAAATACTTCTCAAGGAAATATATGCCCCTCAAAGTTTGTTTCTCTATTAAAACAAAGCTCTGGAAACGTCAACCATTTCATGTAGCAGAGAATGGTGGGGAGGATAGGAGTGGAAACAGCCTGTTTTCCCAACACAAGGAAAGGCTCCCACGGGCGCTCCGGGTGACTCTAACGCAGAACGCACACATGGACGGTGCCATCCTATCTCCTCTTGGGGTGCACATTTGTGAGGGGTCTGCATGTTGGTGAAAGAATGAAGAACTCAGAAGCGAGGTTGGCAAAGCGAGTTGGGCGAAAGCCAGGTGCACCCACCTGATTCAATGCGCCTCCTCCCCCTGCAAATTAGTCTTGTGTTGCCTTGGATTTGGCTCCCCTAACAATGAACTCGAATTTCTCCAGAGATTTCCAAACTAACATTTCGGAGTGATAAATCTTCAGACCCCCCTTGAGAATGAGATGCTTTAATCGGAATTCACGAATTTTCCAACTCGTGAGCAATTCAGAATACCAGAGTTGCAAAGACAAATGGAGAAAGACATACCGTCCACTCACTCCTTGTTTTGTCTTAGGGTTGGCTGGGGCAGCAGCACTTGCCAAGCCTGGTAGGCACCTGCCGTGGCATCCTTCTATGAAGATGCTCCTACAGGACACGGCAGTCTGAGTTCTGTACATCGGGAAGAACTCCGCAGGTCTCCAATGGCCTTTTATACCCAGTAAAACCAGACCAATTTTTATCACCCTGACCTAAGTTAATTAATTCCCTCCTTCAACATACACATGTATGATTATCAAACTCAATGTGATTTGTTGTTACAGATAAAAACAAATACACAGGGACAAGCTCCCTGATTTAACTGTGAATGTTCCAATCTACGGAGAGCACTTCAACCCTTTTCTCCAGCTACCAGATAATAGCTATTGCCCTGCTAACACTTACCGCGGCAAGTTTATCAGCCAATTTTTCTCAGAAAATTGTAAACCTTTCCTACCTTCCTCAGTAAGTCACTTTATCCTGAAACTCGTACTGACCTTCGGAGGTTTGGGCAGCCAGGGATCCTCCTATCTCCTTTTCAATGAATTATACACCACTGCGGAGAGACCCAGGTTATTACAGGATCCCGGATGGGGGCAAGAGGTTGCCTTTGGTTCAGCTTTGGGATCTGCCCACGGAAACCCATGGATGACAAAAACTGCAGCCAGAGTCCAGAGGTGAGGCCCGGAGGCCCCTTCTAACCGCCTGCTTCATGCAGGTGGCAGTGAGCGAGAAAGGAAAACGATTCTTTTGAAAGAGCAGCTTTTCCCTAGTACCAACCACAGTTTGGAAGTTCCTCCTCTGTCTTTTACTTGGTGGAGTTAAGCACCCAGTGAGTCCCTGGAAGACTATAGGAAGATGCATTTGTTTGCATCTTCTGCCAGCAGACAGATCGTTCAGCCGTGGCATGCCACCGAGGGAGGGTTTCCCTGGACGCCAAAAGAAGCTGGCTGCAGTGACCTGCCCACTCAGGATACCGAACCATCGTCCAGTGTCTCCACACTCAGATGTTGACTATGAGAGAGGCATGGATGGCAGTGCCTGGTGCTTGGCAGGCACCACACCAATGTGAGCGGATAGTCTCCTTTCGCCTCCTTCGGTCCTCTGACTAGATTGTCTCTGAAACAACCACACGATCAGCAATGACATTTCTCATGTGCATAGTTTCCAACCACTTTCACGTATTATCCCCTCAATCGACTCACATGATCCCGATTTTACAAAACCAAGGCCCCATGCTCTTGGAAGCAGCAGTCAAGAAATCAAATACTATATGAAGTAAATCTGTTGGGCAAGCAAGTCCTCTTTAAGATGTGAAGAGTAACAGTGTCACTTTGGAGGCTACAGCATGCTTGACCCACATCCTGGCATTTGCAATGCCTCACACGCATGTGAACGTGGGACAATGAATAAGGAAGACCACAGGATAGACACATTTGAATCAGGGTGTGGTTGAAGAATATTGAGAATACTGTGAACTGCCAGAGAACGAATATTGTACTTTTTCGAAGAAATACAACCCGAATACACCTTAGAAGCGCGGATGGGGGGACTCCCTCTCGTGTACTTTGGACCTGTTGGTAGAACAGACCTTGGCAGACACGTCCACCATGCTTGCTAGACTACAGAGAAGAATGCTCTCAAGATGGACCGACACACTGGCTGTAACGAAGGGCCTAAGCATGGTGATTGTGGAGATGGCGCAGGACTGGGCAGTGGTTTGTTTTGTTGTACATTGGGTCACTGTGTTGAGGGGGACTAGACCACATTTAACAACAACAACAACAACAACAACCGCCAAAGCAAGTTAAGTGACTTGTAGGACAATCAAATTGCACAAATCAAGTTTCCAAGGTCATTTAACTTGCACTAACAGCAGAACCTAAGCGAGAATTTGGGTTTTGGTAGACTTATACTCCTGACAGGAGTTAGCAGGCAGGAGCTGGGGAGCACGCTCCTTCTGGCCACAAAAGCCGATGCTGTAATTGCTAATGATCTCAAGAGCGTGTACATGCCCATGCAGACCCTCCTCTGCCACGTTCCCTGACCAAGATCATGCTTTGTGGAAATAGACAAGCTCATCATGCAGAAGCACATATCCGGGGGAAAGCAGATGCCCACAGAGTCTACCTTGTGTAGACAAGGCTTGGATATGTCCTAGGAGATGGACATCATTGGGATCAGGATCATTGTCTAGTCTGTGGTATGGTTTCAAATGGCATTGACATTTTGGATGGGGACCGTCGTGCATGACCCACAACTACTTTTTCAACCTTAGCATAAATCTCAATTTTCTGTTTAGTCACTTTAATTAAAAAGCTTCCTTTAAACATTTTCATTGCAAGACTACCACGTTGTGGAGTCAAGAGTGCAGAGCTCCACAGCCCGGGCCATCCCTTCCTGAGAGCCTCCACCCGAGGTCATCCCCCAGCCGCGCGCGGGACCAGTCCTGCAGTGCTCTGCGGCTCCACTCTCCTAGCAGAGAAGTACAAAACCAATCCCAAAGCTGCCTCCTCTGAGCTGTCCCGCTATTCTCGGGTCACAGCGGTTGGCATTTCCACAGCTCCAGATAAAGAGATTTCACGAAACCCTCTAAGAAAATAATTGCACATCGTCCTTTGTTTCGCAACTCCTTTAATCCCTTTCTCAGATATGGCCACCGTAATTAAATGCAATATTCTGGATGTCAAACTACAATGCACAGCTTTGATAAATATTAGGTGATTAAGCTATTTATAAAATATATAATTTGGGATCTGGCACTACATTTGCTGTGATTATTTCTTTTCCAGGAAGACTAAGTGCTTAGCCACGTGGAAGGCACTGCCAGGAGAGAAAATTAATAAGGATGTGCACTTTTGAGCTTCAACTATTTCCATGTTTCAAACAAGTTGAGACAAAGTCTCCTTGTGAAAAAGCCGACAGAGGGAGCAGAAGAAAGGGAGAGAAATAAAGTGATTACATGATGCTTTCTCTCTCTTCCTTTGGGTTTTGTTACCCTGCAAACCTGATCACTGGCAGCCACCTCTGGCTCCCAGGGAAACGCTCTAGTTGGCAGCAGGGCAGGTACCTACCAGAAGATCCACCATGTTGGGCTTATTGTTCCTCAGTGTCTTCACTGCATGGAAGACGTCGACCGCCCTCTGGTGCCGCAGCATCTCACAGACAATGCTGATTGCACAGAACGTCCCGCTGCGGCCCCCTCCGTTTCTGTCATGAAAGAAACGAAATCGTTTGAGGACTTTCATTCTCACATCGCATCTCCCTCAAAAGCTCAAGATGAGCCCCTAATGACGCAGGCCTCAGAGGCAAGAGACGCTCACCTGGTGTTCTCCTAATTCAAACACAGCAAGTAAATGTGCCACAGCATTTGGCACACAGTTCGCCTGTACCCACATGAGAACGGGCATGTCCTCCTGCGCCATTTCTGCAGACAGCAGAAAAGGACCTTGAGACAGCACCTTGTGTATTTCTGTTGGAAGGTGCCACTGCAGTGCATTTTCAGGGAATACATACCTCACCTAGCATCTGCCTCCTTAAAATATTTGCCGATTTATTAAAAAGTATTATTTATTGATGTAAGTATGGAATATAGCTACTATTTTTATTTTATGAGTTAATTTCCAATAGTACATTTGTTTCGCAAACCATGCTAGCTGGGGCCAGAAGGAGTGCCATCAGTTCGAATCCTGTCCTCTGCTGGCAAGCCCATATGCATCTCCCCTTACTCTTTGTAACCATACTTGTCCCAGGTTCTTCCTGTATGTCTCCGCACCAGCTCTGGCATGAACCACTTCCCAGAGGAGCTATGGGCTCTTTCTGTTATATTTTACGACATTTAAAAATAACCCTAATATCACGATCAGGCCTAAAATAAACAAGCAAACAATCTTTTAATATAATCAAGATTCTAGTCAGTGTTCAAGATTCCCAGACGGCTTCAGACATTTTCTTACACTTGTTGTCTTCAGGTCTACACGCTGTAATTGGTTAGTGAAGTCTTACAAGATATTTTAATCTGTAGATGTTTCTCCACACTCTCCTTTTTCTTGGCAATTTGTTGAGAAAATTGGGTCATTTGTCCTGCAGAGATACTATATCCTGAGTGTTTCTTAGTCATCGCAGTGCTGTGGTATCATTTATTCTGTCCCCTCTGTGTTTCTAGAGTGGCAGTTAGCGTCAGGACTTGATAAGGATTTGAGATTGACTGGCTGACAAGGGTACTTCCATGAGGAGGCAGGCACCAGACACCTGCTTGTTCCTCCTATGTGAAGAAAGACCGTGACATTTAACTCTCAGCTTGCTGGGTCCATTATAGAGTGCCAAATCAGCTTTCCAAGCAATGTGTAATAAGCCTACAGCCAGTAAGCGCATATTTCGATGAGTTTTTATACATATGCACATCATGTGACCACAATCCAGATCGAGCGACAGACCATGAGTAGTTCCCAGACACGTCCCTAACCTTCCTTATGAGTGAGTGAACGCTATCAGTATCGTCAATACTATAAAGGTAATCAAGCTCTGTTCTTACTGCTAGTATCATACATTCCTTTCACCTATTTTAAAACTTGGTATAAATGAAGTGATATAGCCTAAACTTCACTGAGTTGGGCTTCTTTTACTCAGTGATATCCTTATGAGAACCATTTATGTTATGTCAGTTGTTTATACTTTTATATTGCTAAGTAGAATTTCACTATTGTATCATTTATTTATGCAATGGCTGATGACGATTTGAGTAGTTTCCAACTTTTATGAATCATAAGTGGCTATAAGCATGATTTGTACTCCATATTCCTAGCAGACACATACAGAGAAGTGGAGAGCTCAGTCAAAGTGTGTATTTAATTTAGTAGGTGGCGTAATGGCTGCAATCCACAAGGTCAGCAGTTTGAAACCACCTGCTGCTCTTCAGGAGAAAGACAAAGCTTGCTATTCCCATACACGGTTAGTTTTAGAGACGCACAGGAGCATCCGACCCTGCCCTATAAGGTCGCCATGAGTAGGCAGTGACTTGATGGCAGTGAGTTTGGTTTTGACAATTTTTTTGTTTCGGAGATGCTCTAAAAGAGTTTTAAAGTCCTTAGAGCTTTTTGTCCAGCGTGTGGGAGTTCCAGCTACTGCACATCTTCACTAACACTTGGTACCATCACTGACTCGTTTGTTTTTGAATCTTCAGATGTTCTGCTGATGCCATGGTAGCTAATCCTGGACATAATGCATGTTATCCTGAAAACGAATGATGCTGACGACCTTTCTTACTGTACTTCCTTTAAAATGCAGTGCCGGTGCACTCCTTCGCTCCCTCGAAAGAACCGGGCTGTCTTCCTTTTTCCTATTGACTTTCACGGATATTCTAGCTCTGCTTCCTCTGTCAACGCCATGCAGCATGAAAACTTTCTCCTACTCTGTTTTTTGACAAATAGAAGTGTTTAATTGTGATAGAAGCCAGTTTACCAAGAGTTTCCTTGATGGTTAGAGTTTTGTGGTTCATTTAATAAATCTTTGATCAGCCCATGGTCACATGGCACATTGCTTTTCTTGATCTGTTTTTCATCTGCTGGAAGAAGCTATCCTTGATTATTACCTACATCCATAAATTTTATCAAGTGTTGTAAAATGATATCTTAATTGTATCATTTCTTCTGTGTTTTTAGATGGAAGTCATATATAAGGAAAATAATTCCCCATTAACTCTTTGTTTACCTAGAGCACACATAACTCAAGCAAACCACCAACCCTCATTTCTATGGAGTTAGTTCTGACTCACAGTGACCCCACAAGACGGAAGAGAACTGCTTCTTTGGGTGTCCAAGACCTCTAACCCTACCAGAGTAGAAAGCCTCATGAGGAGCCACTCAATTCAATGCATCAGTTATTTGTGTCTCCGGGCAGAGAAACTCTCAGCCCACAGCCATTAGGTGGCGCTACACCATGCTGAATGTGATGTTCTTAACACCGAGGAAGTTACTGTACTGTACTGATTCAAAGCACTGTTGGCTACCAGACGTACCAATTTCAACTAACTTTGTTTCTCATCTCTGAGGAAAAACCAAACCAAATCTAGCCAAATCAAACTCTCAGCTTCAAGAGTTATAAACTTAAAAATAAATATTCTGCCTAGGCCTGAGTCACAAACCCACATTTAATGCCCCAAGAAAGCAAGTGGTGGTGGTGGTCCGAGACCCACAAGGACAGTAAAGTGGGAGAGAAGGGGTCCCCCCCCCAAAAAGTTAAGGTTTTCTCAGTAGAAGAAAGGGTTGCTGGACATGCAAGAGTGCTGAAAGAGCAGATGTCCCCAGCCAGAATAGCTGAGAAACAGCTACTTGTCTTCTGTAGTACATGGTCAGCCACACAATCCTTTCAGTTCTAGGGTGACAGTGGTCTCCCGGACAAGTGCAGTCAGTGGGTCTGCAAGGTGCAGTAACTGAAAGGGCCTGGGCAGGATGTTGCTTTGTGTCTCACTCTCATTGTATTTGCCCTCGTGTCTCAAACTCCTCTAGATTTTAGACCTCAGATTAAAGCACTGGTCCTGGCTAAAATGCTGCGAAACTTGGGAAGGGAGACACATTACAATCCTACTGTAGATGCTGGGATTCCAGGCATAGATGGACTTAAATTTTTTTCTCTTTTTACATTTATTGGCACACAATCCACATTTCATACAATTCAATAGTTCAATCATATCAAGAATAATTGTACAATCATGACCACAATCATTTTTAGAACATTTTTCCCTCCATCGTGAAATCTCCTTTAAAATGAGGTCTGCAATCACAATCAGTTCTAGTGCTCCCTCCCCCATCCTGCCTTCATTGTTTACTCCTGAAATCACCTCCCCCTCCCTATCTCCCACCCCCTCCCCCTACAGCCCCTGTAAACCCTTGCATCAGTTATTTTCTCTATGCAGCCACTCCTTCTGTGCTTCACAAACAGGGAAAAGCAATAGAAACCATAAAAAACAAGACTGAAATAAAGTTGTAAGGATAAAGTAATAATAATATTAAGACAAAAATAAAAATAATGAGTAAGAAAGAAAAGACCATCTTCAATCTTTAAAAAGCCAAGGAAGTAATTTCTGTCATGGAACACTTAAGAGATGCTTGTACCTAGAACAAATTCAGGTTGGGTCAACAGGGAGGTCAGCTGACCAAGTACCAAGTTTGATCCCTCACGATCAAGATTACAGTGATCTCTGTCTGACAGTAAGGCTGTTCAAGACCCTTGCCTGTGGCTAGTGGGGGTCTGCTAGGGGCTTAATCTGTTGTTCTGCAGATGGTTTTTGTGCTCCCATCGTCCTCCAGAGCGTTCTGCCAATTGACTTCATAATTTTAGCTCTGATACTTTTCCCTTCATCACATTTGAATTTTGTTTTGGTTATCATTGGATCACAAGCTGGTGTGCTTCTTCCATGTGGATTTTGTTGACTCCTCGCAGAGATGTATGCTTCTTTGAATACAAGCCATTAAGACCCCAGACGCTATTCCAATTGACAGCTGGCCACTATCTGCTTTCGTCATCACACTTTGCTGCAGCTCCCTTATCTTCAGTGATCATTTCATGAAGGTGGGTATCCAGCCGGGCTGTGTGAGCAGAACAAACTGTTCTTGGATTGGGGATAATGTTAAATAGGAGCCCCAAACCAATCTGCATGTCCATGGGATATGCACGACTCAAGTTTACTTTGGCAACCGTAATACGACAAAGTCCAAACCCCATAAGATCAACTACACACAAAACAGCAGCAAACCAACCAGCAAGCAAACAAACAGACACAATAACCCCATAGAAACAAAAAGGTACAACACTAGTCAGTCATCGCCTGGGGCATAAGGCGATTGTCCTGATAACATGTCAGTTTTCCCAATGACACAGCCCTTCAGACACTGTCTGTATGAGGAGTCTAGGGAGTATATTTCCACCTTGCGCCACAAGCGAGGAGTTGTTGCCCTCCAGAGTTCCATCTCCCATTCGATTGTGCTGTTTACTCAAACTATGGGAATTGGTGCAGAGGACTTTGCTGGATCAATTCTTCCAAGTGCAGATCCCTGCCCGGCAGGTGGAAACCTGTCATGTCACAGTGAGGTCAGCATTAAGGTACTAAGTATATGGTGATTCTGGGTCCCTTTCCCACCAAGCCGGGGGTTCCCCCCAAAGGCCCAATGACCGCTACCTTCTACTGTCCTGGGTCAGCACTCTCTGCTTCCTTTCTCATCCAAGGACCTCAGTCCTCAGTCCAAGGGTGCAGGCAACTCCGGGGCAGGGCTTAGTTCATTCAGTCGGGCCGCTTTGTTAAGTCTTTCTGGTGTAGCCCCTGTTTTATGCCATGCTGCCTGCAAGGTCAGGTTTGACAATCATCATCGTGCTTAGTCCATGGTGTGGTTCATCGAATGTTGGATAGAAATGTATTCGTAGTTTCTTCCAAGGGACATAAAATCTGGCCTATTGTCCCCCCTAGGTTCCCTACAATCATTGTTTAGCATCCCTTCTCGATGTGAGGTTACTTCTCCCCAATCACCCACCATACTCACCAGCAGAACTATCAGCGTCTCCTCAAAAATGTAGACGGTTCCCTCCCTGGTCTTAGCTTGGTTTTCTGGCAAGATTCCCCTTCCATTCTTGTGTGTGTGTGTGTGTGTATGTGTGTGTGTGTGGGGGGGGGGGGCACATTGATTTGCCCCAGCCTTGTCTTGATGCTGTACAGCCTCAAGTGGATGGACATATCCCATTTCCCCCTTCTGGAAGGAGCAATCCCAGACCACATAAGGTCTCCTCCTTCAAGCTGGCTCTTGGGAAGTGCTCAAAAGGGAGATGATGTATAGATCATGGCCAGCAGGCAGCCTTCTCAACTTTTGTTCAGGAATTGGTTCTTAAAGTTTGTTTAATTGGTGTTTCTTCTTATAGTACTAGACTCATACCGTATTTGTCCTTTTGTGATTGACCTACTTCCCTCAGCGTAATGGTTCCCAGGTCCTTCCGTGTCATGTGCTGGTTCATCAGGAATGCATCATATGCCATCGTGCGCATGGACCATAGTTTGATAGACTATTTTTACCACCCCCCTCCCCCCTCAAAAAGCCCAGCAGTTAAAATAACAGATCTTAAAAGATCCATTTTCCTTGCTGGGATTGCGTCGACCAAGTGTGGTGACCCTCTTAATCCAATCAGAAATGACATCTAGACTTAAATAAACAGAAATGGCCACACGAACTCTTGCATTTTCCAGTAGCGCGGTCAGGAGAGGGAAGGATGGACCAGTCAGGACCGGTGGGGAATAAAGCAGTTTTCTAGAAGATAAAGGGTTGGGACCTCTGGTTGAGCACAAGTATGAAGACACTTCTAAGGGAATCTCGGCTTCCTGAAAAGCTGGTGTTGTCACACTTTGATTTGGGGGAGAGGCAGGGGAGAGCCTAAGGAGCAGGCAGGACTCAGGGGGGCCAGGGAGGCTTCCTGGCGCCATGGGAGCTGGCTGGGAGTGGCAGTACCTGAGACACAGGCACCAAAAGGAGAGAAGGCCAAGCCTTTAACCAAATTTGTGATTTTAGCTAGGGTTGGTCTGCTCACAGTAAAATTTTATTTCCGCTTCAAATTGGGAGAGATCTTAACCATGTATTGCTAATGACACTCCAATGAAGATCGACATATGCTTATGCTTTAAGTTTCCACAAATTCTCTAAACATCTTCCTTAACGACCATGACTTTTTAATTGCCTGTTCCATTCAGCCCCTTCCAGCTGGTTGATAAGCTACTTATTATTGCCAATGTGAAAATGCAGGTGAAAATGCTTTAAAAAAACATGGCTCCCTTTATTCAGTGATTTTCAGCAGTGGCTGCACATTGAGTAATGTGAATGATTAAAAAATGCTGATGGAGTGAAATATTGAATTGTATGATACATGAATTATATGCCAATCAAAAAAGTACTGATGTCTGAACCCCACCTTCAGATATTTTGATTTAATTGGTTGGGTGCAGCCTGGGCATGGGTCTTTTGTTTTGTCTTCAACAGTTCCTCAAACGATTCTAATGCCTAACTCACTGAGGTTTCAACCCACTGTTCGATAGGAGTTAGTCTCCAGTTTTAGAGTATCCTAAAGTCATGAGGGCTGGTCCTCCGGGAACCACTCCCAGGGTCCTGGGGCTGGGTGAAGCCTGAGGATCGACATTTCTTACAAGATTCCAGGGAGTGCTAACACAGCTGGCCTGGAAAGCACACTTTAGGGACCACTGGTCTAACCAAACCCTCCCACGTTGCCAGACAACACACACACACCAATCACAAGGTAAAAAAGAGGAAGTTCCTTTGAATCCACTAATATGGTTTTTCATGGACTCACTAGGTATTTTGCTGACCAACTAGGTAGGGCAGAAGGCAGAACTGTAGCACTAGCTGATTTCTGCGGTGTATATAAGGAACTCTTGTGGCACTATGGGTTAGGCACCAGGCTGCTAATTTCCAGGTTGGTGACAAATACATATTGTGTTCCTCAGGGGAAAGATACGGCTATCTGTCCCAGTAAAGGGCTCTAGGTGCAAATACTCCTATTGTGGGTGATTCCACGCTGCCACCAGTCTGACAACCAGCTTGCAAAATTTCTGAAAGCCTAACAGTTGGCTCCCAGAAGCTGGTAGGAATCCCCCAGACTTCTTTTTGGGTTCCAATGGCAGGACCAGTGCTTATTTTGATGGATGAGATATACCGGGCAAAGGCGAAATGTGCACATCTTATTTGCTGCAAAGGGAATGAAACACTCATTGAGGGGACAGATCCTAATAAACCCGTTAACTCCTTCCATCCAGATCTACTCATTTCTTCTCCTGGGTAGAGAGACAAAAGAAAGGTGTACTTATTTCTTTGCCATGTACAGAGAAACGAAAGAATGCATTGGAGGTCAGAGCTGACTCGTGGCACGTTGTCATCTTAGCACTTACAGGCAGTGCACCACGGTGCGGCCTTCTCCACCATTGTATTCCTCCTGCCACTTGTCCACCTGGCGGATGAGCTTCAGGAAGGACCGCTTGGACACTGGGGTATCCCGGTACATTGGCCAGCCCAGGAACTGGAACTGCTGCACCATCCGATACCCGTCTTGGGGCTGTGGAGAGTCAGACAGCAAGCAAAGAAGGTGAAGAAAAAGGCATTATTTACTTCACTGGATTCCAGTGGGCTGACTCCGCTTATTTGATTTTCTTGTCAAAGCAGCACATTATTCAAGGAGAGCACTGCCTATAAATAGTGAAGCTAGCATCTACTGTTCTGAAGAGTTATGCTTTTTAATCTTGATCTACTATAAAAACCAGGTGCTTTAAATGACAGCTCAGAAAAATAAGAGTGAAGCAGAACACTTAACAATTTTGCAAAAGTCAAGAGAAAAGTAATATAAGCAACACAAGGATTGGCTATATTGTGCATTAACTGGTAAAGTGGCTTTACTTTAATTACAGGTAAATTAAAGAAGACATAGAATACACAGACATGCAAGCTGAAGAAGTATGGGAAATTGGATGACACTACCCTTATGAATACAAGGGAAAGCAAAAAGAAATACTGCTATAAAATCATAGAAAACTTAATTAAACAAAAATATCAAAATGTGACGCTATTGTTTTTATCAATACAGTGAACCCTCATTTATCGCGGTTAATCGGTTCTAGACCCTACCGTGATAAATGAAATCCCGCGAAGTAGGATTCCTTATTTGGAAATCAAATATTTTCGTAGTTAGAGCATAGAGGACATGAAAAAACACCCTTTAGTCACCATTACACTCGTATTACCCAATTTATTAAACGAAAAAGGGAAAATGCAGTAAAACATTTTGGACGTTACAATTATCATTTATTATTTATTATATTATGAAGTACAATGGATGGAGCGAACGGAAGACTCATTCAAGTCGAAATGGCGTGCAACCTCCACGATTTTCTTGCCATCTTTGATCATATCCAAAAGTTTTACCTTTTCCTGGATGGTGAGCATCTTCCTCTGGCGCTTATTTTTATAGTCAGAAGGCTTAGAAGAAGCAGCTCGTTTAGGAGCCATCATAGGGCTTAGATAAAATTTCTTAAAAATCGCAAACAATTACAGTACACTGTACGAAAGCAAAAATGCATCTGATACATAGCTCCGATATGTAGCGATGCAGACAGAAGCATGTACAGTATGTGCCAATCAGTGGCAGTAATGACAGAGCATGCACTGTTACGCAAAAACCGCGATAGAGTGAAGCCTCGGAAGTCGAAGCGCGAAGTGGCGAGGGTTCACTGTATATTCTCCATATAAGTCTATATACATCTGACCTATTCTCTCTCTCTATGTCTTCCCTGAAGAAATCTGCGCTCTTCAAATTCTATCACCTCAAAAATGTAGTTGGGGCCTCACCGAGTAGCTCAAAGTGATCCTTGTCAATGGTCGTGGAGTTTCAGGACGAGAAAGAAATCGGAAGGAGCAAGATCAGGGCTGTAGGTCAGGTGTATAGAATAAGGTTGCCCAATGAGTGCTCATAGGACAGTCTTTACCAGCCTCAAAGAAGGAACACACACATTCTCATGACGGGAAGAAAATGCCTTGCTACAACTTTTCTGGCATTTTGCTCACCAGTGCAGTTCTTAATTTTCTTACAACTTCTTCCTAATAATCCTCTGTGACCACCTGTGCTCACTGAGAAAATCTATCAAGATTATCCTTTGTGAATCCCCACAAAGAGTGACCATAACCTTTCTTGGATGACATCTCTGACTTACAGAGGACAGATCCCTTCGAAAGGCACTGTTTTGATGGGAACTTGCTCTCTAGGTCAAAATTCCAAACTTCACTGCCGTTGAGTCAATTCTGACTCATAGTGCTCTCTGGATAGTATTGGTAAATTAAACCCTCATCCCCTATTCCACAAAATAGGCTGATGGAAAGATCATCTCTTTGAGTTTGCCAGTCATCGAGCGATGCTCTGGGGACTCGCCTTTGATGTTGTTGGTGCAGGCACCCTGAGACTTAGAGAGACTTGTCTGTAGCTATGCACTGGTTGCAGCGGCATGTCTGTTTGGAATAAACCCAGGCAGGTATAGACTGGAACCCCAGAAGCAATATTTTATTTACCCATATACATGTATGTTTCACAGAAGATCTTGGACAAGAAGGATGGACACAGTGGCTGCATCAATGGACTCAAATATAAGAACACACGTGAGGATGGCACAGGACCGGGCAGCATTCCACTCTGTCATTCAGAGGGTCAATATACGTTGGAATGTACTTGACGGACCTACCAGAACAACAACGACATCCGTGCATATGAAGGAGCTTCAACAAGTTTGTGAAAAATCCCATTTTCTCTTCATTCTATTTTTTTTCACAAATGTTTATAAGCTCTTTTATGTAGAAATACATCCATGGGCATATAGAGCATATAGGGGGTAAAGTTAGAAAACTTCTTAGTCAAAACCCAAAACCTTGATGGGCGCCGGGCCTGGGGGACTCAAGACCATTGCTGTAGGTGACTCCAAAGGGATCAAGTAACATACCACAATCCGAAAGACACTTTTTGACATCCTACTTTCGTGAGTAGTGACTGGTGGGGTGTGGGTGGCCATCTAAGGTGAAACGATTGGTCTCCCCCCAAAGGGAACAAAGACAAGTGAAGAAATCAAAGATACAAGGAAACAATTAGTTCAAAGGACTGTTGTGTCATGGAAGTCCCAGTCTCCACGATCCCAAGATCTAAGGAACTAGATGGTGCTCGGGTATCACTACTGACCCTTCTGAAAGGGATCGCCATGGAAAATCCTGGACAGAATGGGAAATCTGTACTGGTCTGACAGAGACTGGTGGGACCTTTGTGACTATGGCCCTTACTTATAATCAAGCTTGGAACTAAACATCTCTGTGGCTCACCAATCAGTCAAACAATAAAGTGAAGAAGAAAACTGAGGTGGAAAAAAAAAAAAGAACACAGGCGGTAGACTCCCCCAGAGAACAATCAAAAGGGAAGATGAGATCAAAAGGGAAGCGTTTTCAGGGTAAAGCTCAGAAGCCAGGAAGGGACAGGAGAAAAGGACCAAGGGCAACAGGGCAGAGGTGGAAAGAATGTGAGCACTGCAATCAATGTCATGAGCAATTAATTGTGAATTGCTGGATGGAAAACCAATTTGCTCTGTAAGCTTCCAACCAAATCACAATGAATGGTAAAAAGGAACAAATGTATTACATATCTTGTATAGAAAAGTAACAACACTGTTCTATTATGACTTTGGCTCAGTTGCTTGAACTGACACCCCTGTGGCCTTAGCAACATTTGGTCTACCCCATCTCTTTCTTCTAAGGATCTCTGGTGGCCTAGTGGTTTGGGAGTTGGGCTGCTAACTACCAGGTCATCGATTTAAAGCTTACTCATTGCCCTGCTCTGCAAGAACAAGATGAAACTTTCTGCTTCGGTAAAGATTTATCACCTCTGGAACCCACAGGGGCTAAGTTATACTGTGTCCTATAAGCTAGTTGAGTCAGAACGAACTAGATGGTAGTGAGTCTTTTTTCATCTCTCTCTTTTGTTGCCCCATGGGGTGCTCTTGGCTGTTTCTTTGTCTTCCCTGGGCTCTCTGCCTCCACTCCCTTTTCTAAGACCTCTTACTGATGGGTGTCCCTGACTCAGACCTCAAAGCCTTTCTTTTCACTCTCTATCCTCATCTTTGAACATTCCATTCAGTCCCATGGCTTGAAATACCACTATATTCTAAGAAGTCATAGATTTAGGTCTCTAACTCAGACCTTTCTCCTGATTTGCTTGGAGTTATTTAGCTGCTGACTTGCTATTTCAACTTTTAAGCCTCATATTCATCTCAAGCCTTACATGCTGCCAAATGAATCTGGACCCTCTCCTTGTGCTCCTAGATCCCAATACTGCCACACCCACAGCTGTCACAAGTTAGCACCTGCCGGCCTGTCTTCTGAGTTGCCTAGACACTCTTACAGGCCACTCTTGACTTTGGCCTTAGACTTAACCTTTATAACACAGAGCACATCTCTACTTCTGACGACCCCAGCCTGCGGCTATTTTGGTGTTAGTCATTGTCCTTTCTCCGTGGATGACAGCAGCAGCCTCCTTGGCTGATCTCTCTTCCTTTGTACCGTTCATCCCCGTACTGCACAGTATTCCTGGGAAAGTGTACCTCGTGTGATGTGATTCTTCTATTTACAATGCTGGAATGGCTCCTTAGTTCCTCCTGACCACGGCCCACGCAGCCTGACCTGACCTCTGCTCCCACATCCCTGACCTGGTGAGTGAACTGCTCTCATTGGTGCTCTCACCTGTACTTGATGTGGTCCATTTGAGCCGCCTCAATGTTCTGAGAATGAGCCAGGCGAGGCTCTGCATTTAAGCCTCGGCACCGGCTGTCATGTCTGGAGAGAATCCCTGTCACACTACTCCCTCACTTTTTTCAAAGAGCATCTACTATTTTTAAAAGAAACTAGCTCTTCCCATCCTGCTCAAGGCTTTAGCACTCGCTACCCTCCCCTTGTTTTTCTATAGCATTTATATCTGCCATTGCTCTACACTTTATCAGATCTATCATTTACTGTTCGTCCTCTCCCATGAGACTATACATGCCTAAGGTCAGGGAGAGCCTTGCTCTTGTTCTCTATGCATTCCAAGCTCTGAGAAGGGTGCTGGCATCGAGTGGGCACTCGCAGTACACGGAGAATGAGAAAGTGATGCAAGCATCACACTAAGGGCCATTGGCCAGGATTCTTACTCGGGCTGCATTGTAGATGCGGAATATCCTGCTGATGATGTCCTCTTCTAAATCGGCAGACACAAACTCCACTTGGAGGGGGCCATGCCTGTGCACACCGTTTTCTGGCCAGTACTGGGGACACAACTGAATTCAAAACACAGAAATGCAAGGTTAATTATAGGAATACTTTTACTTCTAATACTTTGGTTACGGTCCAGTAAAAACACTTACTGTAACTCTTAGGACCTCAATGATTCATTTCTTTACTTCTGGCAAGTGTAGTTCTTTTTTTTTTTAAAATCATTTTATTAGGGGCTCATACAACTCTTATCACAATCCATACATACATCAATTGTGTAAAGCATATTTGTACATTCATTAGCGTCATCATTCTCAAAACATTTGCTCTCCACCTAAGCCCCTGGCATCAGCTCATTTTCCCCCTCCCTCCCTGCTCCCCCCTCCCTCATGAGCCCTTGATAATTTAGAAATTATTATTTTGTTATATCTTGCCCTGTCCGATGTCTCCCCTCACCCACTCTTCTGTTGACTGTCCCCCAGGGAGGAGGTCACATGTAGATCCTTGTAAATGGTTCCCCCTTTCCAACCCACCCTCCCAGCACTGGTCCTGAAGGGATCATCCAACCTGGATTCCCTGTGTTTCCAGTTCCTATCTGTACCAGTTGTACATCCTCTGGTCTAGCCGGATTTGTAAGGCAGAATTGGGATCATGATAGTAGGGGAGGAGGAAGCATTTAGGAACTTGAGGAAAGTTGTATGTTTCATCATTGCTCCATCGCACCCTGACTGGCTCGTCTCCTCCCCGAGACCCTTCTATAAGGGGATGTCAAGTGGCCTACAAATGGGCTTTGGGTCTCCACTCCAAACACACCCCCCCCATTCACTATGATATGCTTTTTTGTTCTGATGATGTCTGATACCTGATCCCTTCAACACCTCGTGATCGCACAGGCTGGTGTGCTTCTTCCATGTGGGCTTAGTTGCTTCTGAGCTAGATGGCCGCTTGTTTACCTTCAAGCCTTTAAGACCCCAGATGCTATATCTTTTGATAGCCGGGCACCATCAGCTTTCTTCACCACATTTGCTTATTCATCCGCTTTGTCTTCAGCAGTTGTGTTGGGAAGGTGAGCATCATAGAATGCTAATTTAATAGAAGAAAGTATTCTTGCATTGAGGGAGTACTTGAGTGGAGGCCCAATGTCCATCTGCTACCTTAATACTAAACCTATAAATGTATGCACATATATCTATTTCCCCATCCTCAAATATAAATATATTTGCAATATGTAAATGCCTATATTTAGACCTCTATGAATGTCCTTTGCCTCCTAGCTCTTTCCTCTATTTCCTTTCACTTTCCTCTTGTCCCACTATCATGCTCCATCTTCATTTGGTTATCAGTAATTCTTCTTGGTTACATTACCCTTGATCACGCCCTACCAGGCCTCTTACACCCACCTCACCACCGATTTGGATCACTTGTTGTTCCCTTGTCCCTGGGTTTGTTAACACCACTACCTTTCTCCCTACCTCCCCCTCTCCCATGTCCCCCCAGAACTGTCGGTCCCATTGTTTTCTCCTCCAGATTGTTCATCCAGCCTATCTAATTTAGACAGACCCGTGGAGATAATAACACTTGCAAGTGTATTTCATGCCTTTCTTTTTGGCTGATTCTCCAATTCTAGTTGTCCTTCTAAATAATTTTTTGGTTTGTTTTCTTTGAAAACACCATTTACCCACAAACCATTCTGCTTTCCAAGGAGGTCATGTGGATAATGGTCAGTGTAAGATCTCATTTGCTTGCTGAAAGGAACATATCAGTGTCTGGAGAGATGCCACTAGCTACTATGACAAGAGTTTATGTCCCTAAGCTAGCACATTACCTTTTCACGTTAACATCTCTACCATCTATTGTGGGGGGTTTACATCATAGTCTATAATCACTTATTGGGAATGGGGGTACTTCGTGTCATGTTTTAGACCTGATAACAGTGTTGAGTTTAATTTTCATATTCTGGTTGAAACCCTCCCAGCTCAGATTTAGGAAAGCTAATGTAGAAAGAATCAGTGCTTTGCTTTTTAGACAGAGATAGTTTGAACTAAAAACACAAGTGGATGGGGCCCCAAGCCCCAGGCACTGGGGATGCTGGCAACCAGAACTTTTACATAAATGTAACATGCAACATGTTGTGGTATGAGTGATGTTGGACTTGGTATCTAGTATGAGAGGTGCTTCCATTTCCACAAAATATTACACTTTGAGAAAGGCACGGGGAAGAATCTCTATAGAAACCTCTTTTCCTTCTATACCTTTCCTAAAAATAGTTCTAAAAAATCCCTGACACTCAAACAGGCATTTAACGTTTGAAATGGAACTTATTGGGACTTGCTCTTCCATGGGCAGTCTTGGAGTTGCCTTTATCTGTCTTCCTGAGGGACAAACCCGTGTCCTGAAGTGCTTCGTTATATTATAACCTGTCGGGTCCAGAGCAGGCACAAACCATACCACCTCATTTTAAGCAAAGTGATGAGTGGTAGGGACATGCTTTGCTTCACAAATGGAGAATCCACTGTTGAAATTCATTTCATGAATTTTATTTTCCAAAGTATCTAAAATCTCATTGTCAAAGGTTGCTAAGTTTATTTATATCCAATGTAACAAGATAGTTTTCAGTTAACAGTAGTTCAATTGAAACAGCAATATTTCTCTCATTTAAGAATTTGAGAGGACCTAATGCCGGGGGCTTAAGTGGAGAGGAAATGTTTTGAGAATGATGAGGGCATGAATGTACAAATGTGCTTTATACAACTGATGTATGTATGGATTGTGATAAGAGTTATATGAACCCCTAATAAAATGATTTAAAAAAAAAAAGAAAGACAAAGGGGAAAATGTCTGTGGATATTATTCTGAAAAAAAAAAAATTAGAAAGTTCTTATATTGTGATTAAGACCGAAAGTAGGATAAACAAGCATGCTTTTAATATGAGTTGAGTCTGTAACATTTTACAAATTACACTTATTTATTTTAAGTAATAGTTCCATGAAGGTTATGCTTCTTTGCCAGCACTTCTTGGTGACTCATGAGTTAGAAAACTGTCTTGCTAAACTACAGTATTTCTGATATTGCCGTGTACCCACTCTTAAAAGTAACAGCTGGTTTAAAACCAACAGCTGCCTCATGGAACAACCCCACC